CATTGTTATACCAATGTTGTATCTTGGTATACATTGTTACACCAATGTTGTATCTTGGTATACATTGTTATACCAATGTTGTATCTACTGTTGCTGTATCTGGGTATCTTGGTATACATGATATTTTTGTCTTTTCCAGACAATCCTTTCACTGGAGAAAAGCAAGATTGAATGAAGAGAAGCTTGATCAACTAGAAAATGACCAGGTTTTTAATATACTGCAGCAAGGTTTCCACCAATTGCTTTTGCCTGGAATACAACCAGATACCCAATGACAATTCAAGCTTTCAACTGGAACACATGAGATAACCAGAGTTGGCTCAAACATTCATTGGAACAGCACCCAATATCTACAGTACCTTTACCTGAGCTGACATCATCAAGGATAGTTAAGGTAAGCATTAACCATTTGACATATATTGAAAAGGCAAACCTTTCACATTTTTTTTAATAATTACACTGACAAAGTATCCTGCTGAAAGTTATTAAGACTAAGTAAAAGATAAACGTTGACCAGCAATCTGACAGAGACATGTGGACTTTCTAAGGTAAGGATGAAGACATGTGGCTTTCCTAGGGTGAGGATGAAGACATGTAGCCTTTCTAGGGTGAGGATGAGAACATGTGGCCTTTCTAGGGTGAGGATAAAGACATGTAGCCTTTCTTGGGTGAGGATGAGACATATAGCCTTTCTAGGGTGAGGATTAAGACATGTGGCCTTTCTAGGGTGAGGATGAAGACATGTGGCCTTTCTAGGGTGAGGATGAAGACATGTGGCCATTCTAAGGTAAGGATGAAGACATGTGGCCTTTCTAGGTTGAGGATGAAGACATGTGGCCTTTCTAGGGTGAGGATTAAGACATGTGGCCATTCTAAGGTGAGGATGAAGACATATAGCCTTTCTAGGGTGAGGATGAAGACATGTAGCCTTTCTAGGGTGAGGATGCAGACATGTAGCCTTTCTAGGGTGAGGATGAAGACATATAGCCTTTCTAGGGTGAGGATGAAGACATGTAGCTTTTCTAGAGTGAGGATAAAGACATGTGGCCTTTCTAGGGTGAGGATGAAGACATGTGGCCTTTCTAGGGTGAGGATGAAGACATGTAGCCTTTCTAGGGTGAGGATGGAGACATGTAGCCTTTTTAGGGTGAGGAAGAAGACATGTGGCCTTTCTAGGGTGAGGATGAAGACATGTGGCCTTTCTAGGGTGAGGATGAAGACATGTGGCCTTTCTAGGGTGAGGATGAAGACATATAGCCTTTCTAGGTTTGATGTCTGTCCGGGGTGAGGATGGAAACTTGCCATCAAAGTCTTGTTATTGTGGCTTTATTAGCTGTATGAAGGACTAAATTGTAACATGCTTTATGTTACACATACCAGACAGTCCCTCCCACAACCTTTGTCCAAGTGCTACACACAGAATAGATTTGTGGGGGCTGTGCTGCTGTAAGAGATTGATTTGGAAATATATAGCAGATGAACACATGGGGCTTCCCTCATTATACAGTGATATTGAGACAGATAAAAATAGAGAAAACAAGGTGTGTTGTTGGATAGACTGGGAATTGAAGGTTATCAGGTCCCACGCACCCATCTATAGTTCAGTCACACCTTTTAGCTGTACTTATTAGACATAGTTATGTGTCCTAGTTAGGGAAGACATTCTCCCTTGTTGTTACCATCCTCCTATCATTATAGAGCACAGCTTTAGTACATTCACACCTTCCTATCATTATAGAGCACAAAATAGGAGATATCACTGTCACATAATGGGAGATATCCCTGTCACAAAATAGGAAATATCAGTCACAAAATAGGAGACATCACTATCACAGAATGGGAGATATCCCTGTTACATAGTGAAGATATACCTGTCACATACTAGGAGATACAACTGTCACAAAATGGGAGATATCTCTGTCAAATAATAGGAGATATCACTGTCACAGAATGACAGATTTCATAGTTACATAGTATCACTGTTATATATACCTGTCACTGTAACAGATACCACTGTGCCTGTAACAGAGAAAGCTTTCGAGCTTTGGGTCAGACAACAAAAAACATCAATCCCTCAAGTTCGTTTACTTGTCACAACCATAAGTTAGGGAAAATTCTAATGGGAATTGTAATGGGGAAGTATTACTTTTACATAATTAGGTCTAACTTTTATTTGAAGGGAGACGTATCATATTAGATAGACTTGATTCTTCTACTGGTCCTTCTACATGTTCTAATACATACTTGTCCAGAAAGTAACTTATAGACGGTTAAAGATATTTTGATGAATGTTAAAAGCATACCTGCATCAACCCCAGGAAGTGTGTACTGCACAGTTGTATGCCACTGTGACCTTCACATCAAGGTCAAAGTCAAATAAGTGAAAATTTGATTTGATATCTCATCAAGACCATAACTTTTTAAATCATGAAAAATATCTTTATGAAACTTAGTAGTGTATCTGGCCGTATCAGGTCTGTATGCTATGTAATTAGGTCAAGGTCAAATGAGTGTAAAATTTCCTGCTAAGTCTTGTCCAGGACATAACTACTAAGCTGTTTAAGATGTTTTGATGAAACCTGATGTAAACCTACATGAGCCAATGACGGTGAGTGGTACCTTTCAATAAGGCTCAACTCAATATCAAAAGTCTTTATAGAGTCCATTGCAAAATATTGTGCAAAATTTTAAGTGAAATCTTGTTTGGCTGTAAATTTTTCTCAATTTAAATTTATTTATGAAACTTTAACAATAGCTTAATAACCAGCAGTTAGTTCACCGTTAGGTCAAAGTTCAAATAAGTAAAAAACTAATATGCATATTTGCTGTTAAAGGGAGTCCTGTGCTTATGACCTGTCACAAGGTGTTGCAAGCATTAAGTATCACCCTCGTCTGTATGTACGATATACCTGATGTACCTCGATGTCTAAACACAAAAACTTAAACCAAGGTCACAGAGGTCAAGGTCAAAGGTGAAGATTGTAAGAAAGCCAAGAAACATACTGTATTAATCAAGACACATAAGTATGCAAATATAAATTGTCACATTGAATAGGAAGGACATGCACTATGCACAACTTGCACCTATTTTTGAAAATGGGCACATGTAAATTATTCAGGGTGAGCTATGCCATCGCATAAATGTTTTCACACTTTAATAGAGCAATATAAAATCAAGCGAGTCAGAAAATCTACAGCTATGTAACGCATCATGTAAATAAAAGATCTGTCCATACTTCCTTCCTACAATTAAACATTTAATTGTTGTGATGCTGTCATTTGTAGCATGTCAAACATAAACCACTACAGACCACATTGGAAGGTTGAATGAAATAAAGTTATATTGATTTAAAGTATTCCTTTTACTTTTCATATCAAGCATATCTTGAGGAATGTTTCGTTCTGTTTACGGTATCTGAACATTTTGTAAAAGGACACTGCTTGGCCACCGTTAGTAACTGGTATGAAACGGACAACAGAAATGGTCCTGAGGCTTGCTAATCAGGATCTGTTTACAAATAAAAACATTCAAACCACTGCGTTTATGTGCAGTATTGAATTAACACTTCAAATATTTAATATCTGTCATATCTAAATCATCGATAAACTGCAGTACGAAGAAGTCACGTTCTGTACTTTCACTTAACAAACTTGTCCACAATATAGTACAATCAACTCCCTGTTACCGACAATGTTGTGTTGATGACACATCTGAGTGCTTAGTTGACATGACAGGTAGAAGTGTTGAATCAGGGAGACACACATTTTCTACCATAAAAATTTACTTGTGAGAAAGACATTTTTCGAAATGGTGCACTGATTTCCAAACATGAGGCCGATGGTCGATCAATTTTTCAGCTCACCTGAACCATAAATGAACCAACAACGTCTTCTTAAGAACCGAAAGGGCTAGAATCATGACATTTGGCTGGTAGGGTCCCTGGAAGAAGCCAAACAAAATATGCGAACAAATGTGACCTTGACCTACCTTCAAAGCCACAGATGTCAAATATGTCATCAACTTCAAACATCTCCTCCTGAAGAACCAAATAGCCTAGAGTCTTGATAAAAGGCTGAATTGTGGGATGGAACAAAAAATGACCTCTACCTACTTTCAAAGTCACAGACATCAAATATGTCTTAGACTGTAAACGACTTCTTCTGAAGAACTGGAAGGCATACAGTCTTGATATAAGGCTGGTAAATTCTTTTGATGGAGCCCAAAAACGTTTGCAAACATAAATGACTTTTACTTACTTTCAAGAGCACAGGGGTCAAATATGTATAAATGGTATGAGGCTGGTAGATTCTTTTGTTGGAGCCCAACAAAATTATTGCAAACAAAAATGAGTTATCACAGTTATATAATGGGAGATATCACAGTTACATAATAGGAGTTATCACAGTTTTATAATGGGAGATATCACAGTTACATAATAGGAGTTATCACAGTTTTATAATGGGAGATATCACAGTTACATAATAGGAGTTATCACAGTTTTATAATGGGAGATATCACAGTTACATAATAGGAGTTATCACAGTTTTATAATGGGAGATATCACAGTTACATAATAGGAGTTATCACAGTTTTATAATGGGAGATATCACAGTTACATAATAGGAGTTATCACAGTTTTATAATGGGAGATATCACAGTTACATAATAGGAGTTATCACAGTTTTATAATGGGAGATATCACAGTTACATAATAGGAGTTATCACAGTTTTATAATGGGAGATATCACAGTTACATAATAGGAGTTATCACAGTTTTATAATGGGAGATATCACAGTTACATAATAGGAGTTATCACAGTTTTATAATGGGAGATATCACAGTTACATAATAGGAGTTATCACAGTTTTATAATGGGAGATATCACAGTTACATAATAGGAGTTATCACAGTTTTATAATGGGAGATATCACAGTTACATAATAGGAGTTATCACAGTTTTATAATGGGAGATATCACAGTTACATAATAGGAGTTATCACAGTTTTATAATGGGAGATATCACAGTTACATAATAGGAGTTATCACAGTTTTATAATGGGAGATATCACAGTTACATAATAGGAGTTATCACAGTTTTATAATGGGAGATATCACAGTTACATAATAGGAGTTATCACAGTTTTATAATGGGAGATATCACAGTTACATAATAGGAGTTATCACAGTTTTATAATGGGAGATATCACAGTTACATAATAGGAGTTATCACAGTTTTATAATGGGATATATCACAGTTACATAACAGGAGTTATCACAGTTTTATAATGGGAGATATCACAGTTACATAACAGGAGTTATAACAGTTTTATAATGGGAGATATCACAGTAAAATAATAGGAGTTATCACAGTTTTATAATGGGAGCTATCACAGTTACATAATAGGAGTTATAACAGTTTTATAATGGGAGATATCACAGTTACATAATATGAGTTATCACAGTTTTATAATGGGATATATCACAGTTACATAATAGGAGTTATCACAGTTTTATAATGGGAAACATCACAGTTACATAATGGGAGTTAGTACAGTGTTATAATGGGAGACATCACAGTTACATAATGGGAGTTATCACAGTGTTATAATGGGAGACATCACAGTTACATAATAGGAGTGATCACAGTTTTATAATGGGGGACATCACAGTTACATAATGGGTGTTATCACAGTTTTATAATGTGAGATATCACAGTTACATAATAGGAATTATCACAGTTTTATAATGGTAAACATCACAGTTACATAATGGGTGTTATCACAGTTTTATAATAGGAGATATCACAGTTACATAATGGGTGTTATCACAGTTTTATAATAGGAGATATCACAGTTACATAATATGAGTTATCACAGTTTTATAATAGGAGATATCACAGTTACATAATATGAGTTATCACAGTTTTATAATGGGAGACATCACAGTTACATAATAGGAGTTATCACAGTTTTTTAATGGGAGATTTCACAGTTACATAATAGGAGTTATCACAGTTTTATAATGGGAGATATCACAGTTACATAATAGGGGTTATCACAGTTACATAATAGGGGTTATCACAGTTACATAATGGGAGTTATCACAGTTTTATAATGGGAGATATCACAGTTACATAATAGGAGTTATCACAGTTTTATAATGGGAGATATCACAGTTAAATAATAGGAGTTATCACAGTGTTATAATGGGAGATATCACAGTTACATAATAGGAGTTATCACAATTTTATAATGGGAGATATCACTGTTACATAATAGGAGTTATCACAGTTTTATAATGGGA